GTCGCCTCTAGCGGTATGTAGTACCTCTAGGGGCGACTATTGGTGGTCGCCTCTAGCGGTACTTACTTCTAGGGGCGACTATTGACGGTCGTCTCAAGCGGTACATACTTTTTTTATCTTAATTTTTAGACAGAATTTCCCCTTTAATAGCAAAACTGTCCAGCAATCGATTCGGAATGCTTTCTTGGACCCTTCAGGCATCTTTCTAGCAACTTTCAGGAAATTTCATTTTTTTTGGCCAAAATTGAAAAAAATACAAGGGATTATTTTTACATTTTTAGTCGAAATCGTCCAAAAATTGACTTTTCTCAAAACAAGGCAGAAATTCATTCAGATGCAAGAGGAACATCAATCAATACTCTACCCCACATAATTTGGAAGATTTGGGAAAAAATCGTCAATTTTGGAAAAAATAGTAATTTCCAAAAATCGATTTGGAATGCGTTCTAGGGCCCTTAAGACATCTTTCTAGCAACTTTCAGGGAATTTATTGAATTGAAATTTCGTATATTGTTTAAACTAGATAGATATTAATACAAGCCGAATTCAAGTCAACTTTCATGGAACAAAAAAGACACACTCGTTGTGGAGACGATATCTCAAGAAATTTGTTATGTATTGAAGTCAAATTTTATTGAGTGTTTTGCCGTCATAGGTTACACAAACTGTTTGAAATTGGAGAGGAATCGTCAAACAATAACAAATAATTTTAACCCGAACATGTTAGCGTGTTAAGCGTGAAAAATACAAGGCGAAGTTTACTCAACTTTCATGACACGAGCAACATACTCGGTTTCCAAAAAATAACTTTAGAAACATCTCTTACATTGAATTGAAATTTCATACATTGATTAAACTGGATAGATAAGGCAAATCTGTTGAATTGGGAGGGGAATCAATTAATAATCAATACAATTATTATAACCGAAACAATGTAGCGTGTTCAGCGAAAAAAATGGCAATCTAGTGTCGACTTTCACGACACGAAAACAACACACTCGTTTCCAGAATATAACTCAAGAAGTATCTGCTGCACTGAATTTAGATTTTGACTATTATTTCAACTAGACAGATAATACAAATTTGTTGAATTTGGAGAGGAATCGTTTATCAATATACAACTATTATAACCGAAACAATGTAGCGTGTTAAGCGAAAAAAATATATGGTATTTTGAGTAAACTTTCATGACACGAAAACAACACGCTCAGTTTCCGGACTAACTCAAGAAGTATCTGATGCACTGAATTGAAATTTCGAAAATTAATTGAACTAGAAAGAAAACGCAAATCTGTTGAATTTGAAGAGGAATCATTTATCAATACAATTATTATAATCGAAACAATGTAGCGTGTTAAACACGATAAATAAATTGCATGGCGAAATAGAGTCAACTTACATTGAACAAAACCAGCAAACTCGTTGTGGAGACGATATCGTATGTAACATTTAATGCACATGTAATAAAGGAATAGTGTGATAAAGTAATAGAGTCATTGGTCGTCAAACAATAAAATAATTTAACCAAAACAATGTAGCGTGTTAAGCGTGAAATATACACAACAAATTTGAAGATTTGGACAAATTGACTGATCTATTGAGAAAAAAAAGTCATTTTGAACCGCTCTCCCCCAAATTTTCAATGTAATGTTCGGTTGAGAAGCACATGGGAAGCACAATAAGAATATATTTAAAGGTTCTCTAAGCATCTTCTTCCCTGCAAGTTTTAAGCAATTTCGTTTTTGTTTTTGCCAAAATCGAAAAAAAAATCAAGGAGCCAGCTTTAGGCCTACAGTAATATTTAAATGTTAAAAAAAAAAAAAAAAAAACGCTGACTTTTCTCTAAACGGCAAGTATGTACACCTGATAAATACAGGAATCACAACAGTGTTCATATTCGTTTGCCTCAGTACTCTGGGCAATTATTCCAGATGATACATATATTCTGATACATGTGTATTGAAACGTTTTACACAACATACACAGATGTAAAACAGTATACACTCGTGTTCAATCTAAGATCAAATCTGATTCTTTTCGTTTGAATATAATAGGTAAAACAATCACATACATGTAAATTCACATCAGCTGTTGTGTACATACAATGTTCATAACGTACAGGGATTTCGGGAATACACTGTCATTTTGAAGCTTACCTTGGGCAAAATAAACAAAACTATCTGGCAATTTAGAACAATGAAATTATGTTTGAAAAATAGAACTCTTGCACTTATTTCTATAACTACAGGTACTCATTTACTGCAAGTTGGGTTGCAAAGTGAATATTATTTTAAAATAGGGACTTCTGTTGCTCACTGTGCACAAGCCTTGCAAAGAATGACCACGGTTGCATTGGCGAGCTCATGCTGGCATTTGATTGGCCAGCAGCAGGAGATGCTGAGCTCTGATTGGGCAGCATATCCACCTCATCAGACTGCAAGGACTGGTACCATGCCTCATCGTCACAGCAACTGTACAACAGATAGGTGGACTCTGGGGACCTTACCTCTGGGATCTGACTAAATTCAAATCCTTGACGTTGGGATTGGTTTATCATTTTGACATGTTCATAGCCTGGTTTCCGTTGCCACAACCCAGTCATCGGTTCGACAGCGGCATTGGTGGTAATCATGTTCCCCGTGTTGTAGGTGGGCATAAGAGTGCAGGACAAGTCAAGGGGTACAGACTCTTTGCCGACTTCAAAAGCAATGGCCGATGTTGTCCACTACTGGCTCGGAATCACTGACTGTTATTCCACGGAACGGATCAATTCCACTGCTGCTTTTTCGTGGTCGTTTGGAAGATTTTCGTTTCCGTAACGAGTTTAGAGCATGGGGCTGGGTCAAACAATCTTGAGAGTCACCGTCACATTTGTTATTACTGTTGTTGTTGTTTACAATCGCCAGGTTGGATATTGCAGCACATGATTCATAGCCCCGTCGACTTTGAATGTTGGGCTGGGTTTGTGTTGACTGGCGGTTGAGTTGTTCTTGTGCTTTTTACTTTTCTCAGCATCCTGCATGTGACATAGCTTCTTCACGTTAATCACCGCTCCTCTAGATCCATGCCCTGCCCTCCCCTTTCTGTGTTTCTGCCTCGTCTTACATTTAGCCGGAGGCACGCTTGTTGTAGTCGCTGAGCCTGTAGCAACTCCAGCTGCAGGCGTAGATGCTGAAGCAAGATGCGTTTCTGGATGTCCATAGGAGACTTCATAGCTCCTGAAGAATTGACGACACCTGCAGTCAGTGAAGACTGAAGGAGGGATGGTGGAACCTAGACAGAAATAAAAAACAAATTTATAAAAGTTAAATAAAACAGGTTTTTGCAATTGGCTTGAGAATAATTTTGAGGCGCGCAGGGCAGTTTGGGTAGAACAGGCAGGGCTGTTTCAAGGGAGTAACAGGCAGGGCTGTTTCAAGGGAGTAACAGGCAGGGCTGTTTCAAGGGAGTAACAGGCAGGGCTGTTTCAAGGAAGGGAGTAACAGGCAGGGCTGTTTCAAGGGAGTAACAGGCAGGGCTGTTTCAAGGGAGTAACAGGCAGGGCTGTTTTAAGGGAGTAACAGGCAGGTTGGTCTACGGTGGTATCGGTACAGGGATTAACAGGCAGGGTGGTTTGGGGCAGTACAGGGATTAACAGGCAGGTTGATTTGGGGCAGTACAGGGATTAACAGGCAGGCTGGTTCGAGGCCTTACAGCAATTAACAGGCAGGCTGGTTTTGGGCAGTACAGGGAGTAACAGGCAGAGTGGTTTGGGGCAGTACAGGGAGTAAACAGGCAGGGTGGTTTGGGGCAGTACAGCAATTAACAGGCAGGCTGGTTTGGGCAGTACAGGGAGTAACGGGCAGGGTGGTTTGGGACAGTACAGAGAGTAACAGGCAGGGTGGTTTGGGATAGTACAGGGAGCAACAGGCAGGGTAGTTTGGGGCAGTACAGGGAGTAACAGGCAGGGTGGTTTGGGGCATTACAGCAATTAACAGGCAGGCTGGTTTGGGGCAGTACAGGGAGTAACGGGCAGGATGGTTTGGGACAGTACAGAGAGTAACAGGCAGGGTGGTTTGGGATAGTACAGGGAGTAACAGGCAGGGTAGTTAGGGGCAGTACAGGGAGTAAAGCCAGGTTCATACTTCATGCGAATGCGAATGCAAAGCAAATTTGACATCATGAAACATTCGCTGCGAAATTTGCCCCAGTTGAATTCGCAGCACGAAAACTTGCCATGACGTCAAAGATTTGCAATCGCTTTCGCATGAAGTATGAACCGGGCTTAAAAGGCAGGGCAGTTTGGAGCAGTACAGAGAGTAACAGGCAGGGCAGTTTGGGGTAGTACAGGGAGTAACAGGCAGGGCAGTTTGGGGTAGTACAGGGAGTAACAGGCAAGGCGATTTAGGGCGGTACAGCTTTGGGTTATTAACCAAATTCTTACTTGGTCATACATCCTGCGGCTCATATCAAACTCAGTCAATTGATTTCCACCGACCAATGGCTGAACGGCAGGCGACGTCACAGTCATGACACAAACCGGTGGGTTGAGTAACAACTGACAATCTATGGGGTGATAGGACACCAGCTTGCCAGATACCAGTTACAGGCGCTGCTGTCGTCGGGTTGTTCTGGTGAGCAGACAATCTGAGGAAGGTGCAATGTTGTAGTAACTGGGCCGTGCCTGGCATCACGGTGTTGTTGCAAGTGATGAGGAATTTGTTGTTGCGAGCTTGTCTAGAATAAAAACAATTTGAAATGTGCTAACCTGTTTTTAGTTGTGATGCAAGGTCCCTAAAGAAAAGGCCTGCCAAATCTTTTGAGCGACATTCTGCTTGTAGATTTCACCAAAAAAAAGAAAGAAAATGAATCCCACTGAAGCTCCTGTAAGCCATCGCTACAATGAGTTTGTAGAAAGTAGGCATTCATTTGCCTTCAAATTTGTGTTTTATAATAACTTGTGCTTTCTGAATTTGTTCTCGCATGGCTCTCGCAAGTAAAACACAAAATACACAGTTCTTAAGGATGTTTGTGTGGATGTTTATAATCCACTTTAAATGCTCTTTCCATTTTATATTGTTTTGTAGCCCAATTTGGCGTATTCCAGGCTGTAATGTGCCTTTAATATGCTGTACATACAACTGTAGGGTGTGGATAGGCATAAGTTGACGCGGGATGATTTGGCTGTAACAAACGTCCGCTGTGTTATGTAAAATCAAAAGTAGAAACGCAAATATGAAAATTTATCTTCAATCAAACTTAAATCATTGATCCTGATTGGTCGATCCATGGCAACAATGTGGTATTATTAGTCATCCCGCGAGTGCAAGTGGAATACGGAATAATGCAGTGTGTCTGTGTCCCACATTCGGCTGACGCACTGCATTTTTTGTGTTCCACAAGCGTGAGCGCGATAACAAATTTACCTTTAAGCAAACTTGAGGCACAGTAAGATGAAACACACATGCCGCTGTTCATGTTCGTATGGAATGGCGCGCGCATCTTAGAATAGTGCAATATGCGGAGTGCAGTATGGACTGTGGCCGTGCTACATTGTTATATGTAGCATGGCTTGTTGCCATGGATTCACCAATCAGGATCTAGGATCCAAGTTTATTTGAAGATAATATCTCATATACCATGGTCCATATCACACTCTGCCTATCATATGGCCCCAACCATCGCTGAGAACAGACAGTTTTCTAAAATACTACATCTGTTAAACAGCTGTGAGTTGGCTGTTGACTTCATGCACATGCTCGGGTACACTACATATATCTGTGCATTACTTGCCCCTGACAGAGCTGGCACTCAGGCACACCCTGTGACCTATGGGTTCTATGCATGACAGATTCTACAAACTGCACTTTGAGGGTTGAAAAAGAACAGCTTTTTTTGTGGTTTTTCAGCATGGAGACACAATACATTGAACAGCTCAGTGGAACGATGTCAGCTATAAATTATTAGCCCTTAAATTTGGTCCAGTTCATGAAATGATGGCAAATGATCCTATATGCCTTGAACTCAGCTTACTTTCCCGGCTGGTCCTATCTGATTTTGGCGAGCGATGTGGCTCGTCTGTCGGTGTTCTGGAAGATGGCCCGTATCAGGCTCTTCACATCACTGGCGCTGAACACCATAGCGAGTGGTCCCTGGAATGACGGAGAGAATCACAGTCTCAAATGTTTAAAGAGCAACTAGACAAGAAGAGGAGTTCCCAACATAAACAATGTTTTTAATTTTAAATTAAGGTTGAACAAAGAAATTGACTGGAGCAGGGTTTGAACCTGCGACCTCCGGAGTGCCGTTCCTGCGCTCTACCAACTGAGCTATCCAGCCCTATGTTGGTGGTTTGTCAATGTCTTTGTTCAAGGGGTGAGCCCCACATATGCCATGTAGCCAGGGATCACACCCTAAGTCACAATGCTAGCAACATCAGCAATGCTGCAAACTTAAGATAACCAAACGGGGATCACTCAGACAAGATACAACTTTTTTTATTACAAATAGGGAACTGCCAGCATAGGGCTAGACAGCTCAGTTGATCGAGCACTGGAATGGCAATCTTGAAGTCATAGGTTCAAACCCTGCTCCAGTTAATTTCCTTGTTCAACCTGACAGAATTTTACTGCTTAAAATTTGAATCCTATTTGTGTTGTATCTCACCTTGCCCTCTGCCCACCTGTCAACAATATCTTGCATGCTGGCGTCTAACAAAAACAGCAACTCGCTGAATGACGTCCACTGATCAACGGTACTCTGCATCAAAACTGGTTCCTATGCATCAATCCAAAAACCAAAAGTCAACCTTCTTTACAGTGGGTAAATACACTTCTAATTGTCTGAAAAAGTGGATTTGTGGGCAATTTCTGATCAAGTGAAGCATAAGCTAGCAATGGTAATCATGTACCGCTCAAGCAATGAGCGATGTCTATCCTACGCAACAATATCTACAGAGATTGCATACTTTTCTAAGCTATGGGCTTTATTCATGAGTCGGCCATATTCAATTGAGAATGAGGTCAAATCTTTATTTTTGGGTTCTTGTGTAGAGAACTGAAAGCACTACGTTACAAATTAATAGAAGTCTGCTCTGATGAATAATTTAACATTTGTGATTAAACATACCCTAATGTTTTAAGCCACATTTAAAAAAAAACATGAAAGTGAGGCTTGGAACGCATAAATAGTTGGGCACCATCTCATTCAACAGCTCACAACTTATGAAACACATTCAGGGAACACAACAAAATGGCTTCCTTGTGAATAAGGTTCATGGAGTAGTCTGCTACACACCGAACAAAAACCCCAAAGATTCTCTTTTTTTTGGTGTCCACAAAGCAACATACTGTGCATTATTAGACGCATTATATACATCACTTCGTGGGCCACCTAACATCTTATCAACAAATTCTGCAACAACAAACAAATTAGATTCAGGAATTGCTTTCTTACCTCATCTTCTCCTAGTTTGATCAAGTGTGGAATTCTGTCTTGCAGTCCCGAGAGTAACAAATGTAACTGCTGCGCATCATCAGCTGAGATGTCCTGTCAAGTTGAGCAACAAAAAAAATGTTCTAACGAATTAGTGGCAGTATTCCACAAGGATATCACAGACGAAACAAGTGTGAGTGCACAATAAGCTCTGGTCACCTTGCATGAAATGATTGTGCATAAAAACAAGCCCGGGCAGCCGTCTCACGTGAAAATCACGAGCTGAAAATTGACCAAAATAAGCCCCCTAAGTTTCCCATCAAAATAGCGGGCTACACACTACATGACTATTAACATTATTAAGCATTATCTTGCCTCCATTTACAAAATTTTGGATTATTGCTGAACGTACTTGTTTAATGGCCCTCTCACATACCAAGAAGTTGTCGTCAGTGGCTACTTGGTCAAAGCCCTCAGCACCAGACAGATCCTCCACTAATTGATCTCGCTGAATTCTCTGCAACATAGAAGCGGTAATGCAAATACAGGATAAGGAGAGTTTATTTATTTCGCTTGAATGTGAGTGCAATGCACATTTCACATAACATTTAAAGTGAAATTTGCTGCTGTTGAAATGTGTTGCAACTTTTGTAATCTGTGGGATGAATACCTGTTGTGATGTCAAAACTTAGGATTGGCGTAGCCAAGAAGGATACACTGGCCTTAACCCTAACCCTCCAGGGTATTGTGGCTAGAAACCCTGCTACATGCAGCAACATGCAACACTTGTCTACAACCCTGCTCAGTGTAGCAAGATCCATCAGGTTGGCAATCTCAAGGCTAAACTGCCTCAGAGTCTGTGGTCACCAACTGCAGCAGGATACCACTGTGGCATTGCTCAATGGGACTAACTCTCAATGTTTCAGAATTGGCCGTTTATGCACTGGTGTTGGTGGCTCAGTGCAGCAAGGTCCCACAGATGTTTGAACCTGATGCACTGTGTTGCATCTGGCAGGGCTAGGGTTAACAACGGGATAAAAGTTTTAGACCAATAAAATCAACTCAGTGCTGAAGTTTAGTCCCACTGAAATATCAGGAGGTACAGTAGAAACCCGACACATCCAGGCTGTGTTGACTCAGTACAAATGAGACAAAATAGGCTGCTGTTTTTTTTACCATTTGAGCCAAGAAACATTCGGATGTCAGCTTCCTGAAGACAGGGATGAGGTCGACAAATGTGGATGTGCCGTCACAGAGGGGCGGGGGTAAGGATTGACGATACTGATGGCCTAGAGTCAGCAGGTGATGGGCGATGTACAAGCAGTTGTTGAGGTGGAGAGCGCACACCTGGGGTAGCTTTTGCTGTTTCAAAAGAAAAATTAAAAAAAACATAAAAGATTTCTGTTGTGTAAGTTGAAGACAATATCAACATAACTTTCTTCATTGTTTTCATCCTTGCTTTTGTACACAGGAACATTTTTTTTTTTGTGCATTTTTGTTTGTTTTCATTCAAATCAATAATATTGCTCAATCATAAAAAGGGTGCATAACAAACTTGTTGACGTTTCAGCTCAGTGGATACTATACATTTCCGGAAAACAGAGAAAATGGTCGCACAATTTTAGGGGTCTCATAACTGGATTTCATTGCTAACACATGAAAAATATGTGCCAGCGGGCACATTTTCTAAAAGCACCTTCAATGATTATTTTCTTCTAAATGATACCATGTCAGGTGGAATAGTTTCATAGGTTATTTGGTACCGGTCCTATCTTCACTTGGAGCTAGGATTTTCTAGTTAAAGCGGTAGGTTGTCAGGTTGGCGTAGCAAGGTAGGTCAAATCTAGCATTAAATCGGTAGGTATGTTTCAGTTTAATTGCAAATGTCCCTATGTGCCATTAACAACCCAAGTTTAGCAATTAGTTGTGTTCGTGCAACAAGGTCGTATCTCCTAAAATGGGCCGTTCGTGAAACACGAGTTTCAGAATGTCAAAATGTCGTATCTCACTTAAAAATAACCCTGATGTAACACACAAAGTCAATGGACCTCGAGATACAACGTTTTTACTCGCGCGAGATATGACTTTGTTGCAGAATGGAGTTACGACCTTGTGAATTCATATTTGGTTATTGTATTTCAAACACGAGTAGAATTTGCTTTTGCAAAGTTTGGATCTTCATTGGATCACAGTTGACAGGTTGAGATTTTCAACCCGGGTTGAGAGGCTCTAGTGTAAAAAGGCCTTAAGTGACTACTCACGCTCACTTCTGACTCATGTTCACTACATGTTCACATTTTCGTGACACAGACTTGGAGGCAGATTTATGTATTAATTTATTTGTTTGAAAACAAACTGGCCAGCTTATTTACAAAAATCAATTTGGTGAAAGGATAGTAATGGTACAAAATCTTCCCATAAAATTTGTCAGTTGCACCACAAAGTGATGTATCGTGTGCACAAAGTCCATAGACAATTTGTCACTCTGTGGTGCACCCGAAAAATTGTAACATCCGGCATGTTATCATTTTGAAGAAAAACTACACACTGAAAAAGTCTTCTTTTTTCCCCTAATGGTACATGACTAATCTCTAATACAATCTCTGAGCACCTATCTATGCATTTCAGACAAATTGTTTTGAGCAACTATGACATTTAGCAGATGATAATGAAATTCAGTATTACTAAATGACCGTTTGAAAAAGTCCAGAAGTTGACTCACCAGACTATCTCTGTGGTATGTGGGTACGACATCACAAAATATCTCAAACATGTTTCGCACTGTGTAGAACAGCTGGATGGCACTGCAAACATAAAAATAAGACATTAGCAAAAACCCTTTACACTATGTAGGTCAGTGTTCTAGCCAGGCATCAAATAGCGCTAGCAACCGCTACGCTTTCGGAAATAAGCGCTACGCTTAAATCGCGCCGCTACGCTACCGCTACGCTATAAATTTTGGTTGCGAAAAAAAAATATCTGCCGTTTGTTCGTATACAAGCGCAGCGACTTTGAGCATTGCGCACTGGCCGTACGACACAGCGAAAAATAAACAACGATCCCACCGCACGTACCCCGTACGATACCCCTACCGTGATGCTGCGCCACACGCATTCGCTATGATAGCAATAAGCACGTGCTGTTTTGTGCTGCGTAGATACAGTGCTCCGTACGGACGTACGTGGACCACACCATTTTGCGCTATCGGGTGTGCTTTCCTAAGGTCAATATTTACAAGCATTTCAACTGTTTTAAAATTATAAATAATACTTTTTATCAAGTCCGAAACATATAACTGTTTGAAAATAAGTCCTTCAACGTCGGAACATAATTTTCGTAAAGGATTTATTCGAGAAACGATGTCCAAAGAAAGGTTAAGCACCCCTACGATATCAATGGATCCGTCCCCAAAGATGGCCGCACGTGAGGAATTCTTCTCGAAGAATGTCGTTGTCGAAAATTTGGGTTTGTGACTACACTACTCGTTGCTGATAATAACAGTTCAATAAGTTTGGTAGTAAAAACGGATTTGTTTGTTCTTAGGACAAAACCAATCAGCAAGTATTGCAACAAAACAAGTTTTTCAGCGCTCCACGAATGCGTAGCTTTCTCAAATGCTGAGGGAAATTTGGTCGCGTAGTTCGCCAGCGGCGTAGCCGGTGTGGGCTGGCCCGCGCCGCGCCAGCACGCCGGGCCGGCCGGGGCCGGCTGCGGCCGGGATGGGAAGCAATTCCCGGTGATTATTTCTCATCGTCATTATCTACAATTATATTTTTTAACATAACAAAAATGAGATTTCTCCTTCACATTGTGTTGTAGCATATTGAAATTGCAATCGCCGACGACTTTTTATGTCTGAGACCTCCATGGTTTTACAATTTCTCTCCCTGCCGATCGGATGGTTTTATTTACAAATTTAAAATCGGAACTACTGCTACTACGGCAGCGCTACACAACACAAGGCTTCTTGAAATATGAAATGTTCATGCGATTTGTTCTCACACTTAATATTGACAAAGTAAATCCCAATTTTTTTTTAAAACATTGAGGAACTACTAAAAATGGTTAAACATCAGAAAGCATCGATCTTGGAACAACTTATACATTGTAAACGTGATCTAAAATTTGAAAACAGAAGAAACTTTACAGGAGCAAGAGTATTAATCATTGAAACAAATAAAACAAAATTTCTTATAATTTTAAACACTTCTGCTAAAAAAAAATCAGGGGAAAGTGGCAGGGAATCGCCTCAGATTGCACCACAGAGCATCTAGAGTCCAAAATTTTTCGGGGCCCTTAAGCGGGCCCCGGACCCCACGCCGTAAGGGCTTTGCGCTCCGCGCTCGCATTAGTCTCCGAACCAAAATTACCCCTACGCTATAATTTCACCCTGGCTAGAACACTGATGTAGGTTGAGGTTGAATATATTGTGTACACTGACATTTTGTTCAACACATTACAATTTGTTTGGACAAAAGGCACTTTTGCTTTTTCACATGACTTGGGACAAGTGCAGCCAAGTGGTTTGGGTTCGTGACTCATGATCAGAGGGTCAGAGGTTCCAATCCACCTGCTGGCCATATGTTGTGTCCTTGGGCAAGCCACATATTCTGTGTGATTATTTGTTTTGGTTTGCTGTGTAACTGCTGACTGACCTGTTTTCCGTAGAGAAGCTTCAAATCCCTCGGTGATGACAGCTTTGTATTCATTGAGCTAAAATGGTGAATATGATAAAATAAACAAATTCACAAATGTTATCATACACTATTTCTGTAAATACATTTTCAAACATGAATATTCACTACACAGCATTAAATGTGCAGACTTCTTTCTTTTTTTATTCATATACACCACAAAATCACAAGTGAATTTTATTGTTTCTACCAAATTGGCACAATTCCATCACTGAAAACCTCCCGGTTCGATTTTCAGTATTTTAATTTCTAGAATAATTTTTTTCCCCTCAAATATTCCATTTAAGATTTTCAAATAATATTCCAATAAAATAAACTTTAAAGGGGCACTAGGTCCTGAAATCCCCGAAAATTTCAGGTTTTGGATTGTTTACTTATCCTACATAAACTCCAGCTAAGACGGCACTCTCGGGACCAGAGAATTTGTGACGACTTACGCGAATGACGGCTTCTGCTGCAAGTCGTCATTTTGCCGACTTACACAAATACACAAATTAAATCACAAATACACAAATTAAATAGATCGCGAGGGGAGCTCTTGGAATTGAACGGGAAATTTCACTTTTCATCCGACTCGTAAGCAAACTTCAGCACCTTGATTTTAATCATCGATCTCTCCTTGTACCTCAGGTGGCGTATCTAGTAATTTGAAGGCTGTTTTGAGGTAAATCTGATGTTTTTATTTGCCGAAGTTGTGTTTTTTGGGGGGGTCAACGGCGGTCGGCAGAATAGTGTTGCACGACTTTTCTCATGGTTTCTCGAGAATTGCCACCAAAATCATTGAAAAATTTCATATTTTAGTCTTCATTGTTCTGTTTGAAGTCGATTACAAGCTTCGTAAATGCCTGTTGCATCGTATGAGGTATGAATTATGGAATCTGGGTCGGGATAATATAGGGAAAATGGATCGTTTTTGTAATGCACTGGGGATACAGAGTCCGGGATTTCGGGACTCTTACGACCCGGTACTTTTAACGTAGTTGTGACTCCAGGGGGGTCAGACAAGTCGACCGTTGAGACAACTCGACTCGGGACAAGTCGACCGTTGAGACAACTCGAGCATTGAGACAACTCGACCGTATGTGTGATAAATGGAAAGACAAATCTAACGTTGAGACAAGTCGACCGTTGAGTCAAGTCGACTCACTTGTTTTGGGGCCTAGTTTTGGGGATAGTACTGGGGATTTTGACGGCGGCTGATCACCGATTGGGAGTTATGACACATGAGTTTTTTTGTTGCATCTCAAAAAAAAAAAACAGAGCCGATATAGCGCAGCGTGATTGACCGTGCACATCGTCCGTTTTTCCGGGCCACGCGCATACCCGGTCAATGTGGCCATACCGTGCATGGTGACATCGTTTTTGCCGGGCCTGTGCATGCACTTATCCCTGGTCAACGTGGCCGTGCCATGCACGGTGACATCGTTTTTGCCAGGCCTGTGCGCGCACTTATCCCTGGTCAATGTGGCCGCGCCGTGCACGGTGACATCGTTTTTGCCAGGCCTGTGCCCGCACTTATCCCTGGTCAATGTGGCCGCGCCGTGCACGGTGACATCGTTTTTGCCGGGCCTGTGCGCGCACTTATCCCTGGTCAATGTGGCCGCGCCGTGCATGGTGACATCGTTTTTGCCAGGCCTGTGCCCGCACTTATCCCTGGTCAACGTGGCCGTGCCGTGCACAGTGACATTGTTTTTGCCGGGCCTGTGCCCGCACTTATCCCTGGTCAACGTGGCCGCGCCGTGCACAGTGACATTGTTTTTGCCGGGCCTGTGCCCGCACTTATCCCTGGTCAACGTGGCCGTGCCGTGCACGGTGACATCGTTTTTGCCGGGCCTGTGCGCGTACTTGCCGCGCCGGTCCACGTGCCCGCGTGCCGGGCTGGGCCCGGTCCTCGCATGCGGGGGGCGCCGGCCCAACGCGACGGCCACCGGATCGGAGCGCGCCTCTGTGCATCGAGTATGCCCGTGCTGTGCCCGGGTTCTGCCATAGATTGCAACTTTTTCCGCTCCACGTGTATTCATTTTGATTGAGTCGAGCTGTCTCAACGGTCGAGTTGTCCCGAGTTGAGTTGTCAAACCGGGCGACTTGTCTCAAGGGTCGAGTTGTCTCAACGGTCAACTTGCCCGACATTCGACTCCAGCTCTAATGCGATAGGCATTAGAGCTGAAGTTACTCAAGCTAAGTTACATCATGGGACTATGTCATTGCCAATTACCCCTAGAACTTAGCTTGAGTAACTCCAGCTGACATGCTCATAATATTCATTCACATGTGACGCTGGAGTGTGGTAGCAAGAGACCCTAAAAAATGGCCTCTCAAAAATTGTTCATTTTCACCTCTAATATCCCACCTCAGATTTCATTTACATACCTCGTAGATTCAGCAGTCATTCACAGAGCCTAATGATCGACTTGAAACAGACCACAAAAAACTGTCTGGTGAGGTCAGGAAGATCACTGGTGGAGCTGTTGAGCTGGGAACTGATGTCTTCCTGAATACCAACAAAAAATAAAGATACCAAATTGACTTCTTTTGACAATAAAAAGTAACATCTTAACCAGTTTGCATCAGAGGACGTGATAAGACGCACTGGCTGTTTTTATGCACAGGCACGGCTGATGGATTTTCTAGGGTTAAAAGGTCAAAATTGCCTCCACTCACCTCCGGGTAACATTCTGCTTTTGCACACACACAAAAGTCTGTGAAGTCATACAGGCCAGACTGTGTGTTGATCTTGAATTGGCCGTTGTGCATGGCCAATTGTTTGACAATTTACGTTCCAGTGGACACCTCAAAGTATTGAACCATATGAGGTTTCGGCACAAAGTGGGACGCTTGGGTAAAAAGAACCCCTATGCCAAATATCAGGCCAAAATATTTCCATGAAAAAAATGCATCATTTTACCAACTTGCTGTGCTCACATTTGTATGGCCCTTAGCACAGAGATTACTCCGGTGTATGGCCATAGAATAGGCTAGGTTTTTACCAACGGTGCAATAAGTGATAACCACAGACACCAATGCCTATCTCATCAGACAGCCCCACATACCTAGTCTAGGGGCTAGACGTTATTATGGTTTGATACGTGACAACCCCCGCAGTGATAACCCCCGCAAGAGGGAGCTCTCACTCACGACC